TGAATCTTTTTGCAGCTTTCACTAAAAATCATTGTGGAAGATGGGAACACTGAAATGCAAGCACTCTCCCAGCCACCAGACTAATATGGAGTTCCAGTTTATACCAGGGGACACTGAATGGCTGTACTACAGCACATTTGTTGCAGAGAATCTGTAAAAACAGATTCAGTCAATTGTCTCTCCTGCAGTGACAACAGCATGCAGATAGCAGCCACTTGTGTTATGGACTTAACTGCTTGCCTGCCAACAACCTCTGAGAAAGTCACAACGCCCGAGGAGCCTCCTGTGTGACTCCTGCTATGACATTCCCAACAAGCCGTCAGAGATCTGGTCAAACTGTACCAGTGGCTCAATACATCCTGTCGAGTGGCTCAATACATCCTGTACACATAGGGAGGATGACAAAGACATTCGCTCTCAGGAGCAGCTGAGGCAGAGAGTTGAGGACACAGCTGCCAGAGGCACAGCAGTTCCCACACACCAGGGGAATGCAAAGACCCTGAGCAATGTTGTCCTGTACTGCCTGCACCCCACATGTGCCTGCTTTTCTTCTCCCTGACAAGTCTGCTTCTGGCCAGTTCCCTGCTCTGGCAGAGTCTTGAATTTAGGTCCTGAGTATCACAGGGTCAAGAAGAATTGAACTGTACTGAGTCACAGGTTGAGGAGTACAGCAGGATGAACTGTGGCACTTGATATGAAGTGTGACCATTTCATTTACTTGGTCAGGAGTGTGCTTGAGTGGTACAGTTCGAGAAACAGCAGGTGATTCACACAGGAGGTGACAATTCATAACACCCACTGCCATGCAGAGGTAGTGGGAATGACTGTGAAACATCAGATACATGATACAGCTGTTACCTCATTCATTGTTTTCATCCTTCCTTTTTCTAGCAACTGCAAAGAAAAAAACCAGTATATAGGAGTGTCAGTACCTCCCTCATCCTATCTCTATGCAGTGCTCTTGGGTCTCTCACCCATTTCCTTCTCTTTCCTGGCAGTTCTCTGATACACCACATCTGAAACTTGCCCAGAGGCCGATGGAGCAAACAGTGATAGCAAACAGATCTATTTCCCAAGAGGGAAAACACACAACTTCCCCTCTGAAACATCCCCCCAGTTCTTCTAAAAACAGGATGAGAGTCAGGATGCAGCAGCCTGAGTTCAGGGGACTGGGTTTAACCTGGATTTCCTGGCAAACATGCAGAGCTCATCAGTTTGTCATGTAGACTTGAATGCTCAAAAATGGGAACAGGCTAAAAGTTGGGTTACATTGTTTAAAAGCTCTGTTTACAATTATGAGAAAACCTTGCTCAGTCCCCTATCTGAGTAAACATCCTTGGGGTGTTGCCATCACTTGGAAATAATAGGGATTGTATATACAATACGTCCCCAGATCAACATGGTATGGGGTCAGAGAAGTAATAGTAACTGCTAAAGAACACATTTACTGCATATGTGCTACAGTGATGATTCTTCTAGCAAAAGCAGAAGTCAATGTGTTTGCAGAGAAGCCCCTGCAGTTCTGGGGAGATTTTTGTTTAAAATGAGTAATATTGCTTAAAGATGCTGTTGCCAATTTACTGAAGGCACACTGAAAATCTGCAAAGTTACCCTAGCACCACAGCTTACAGCAAGACTGCAGTTCAAAAGGTGGAAATCTTGGAAAGGGCAGAGGGAAGTGAAATTTATTATTCAGAGAAGAGAGCTACAAACACCTCATTCCCTGCTTTGCATTATTTGCTGAATACAGCATGACTTAGAAACCTGATGAACTGTTTCAATTTATAGACGGAACTCCAGTAAGACAAAAAAACAGAGCAACTGTGAAGCAAAGCTTGAACAAATATGACTTTGCTTTCTATTGTTTATGGATAATTTTTCAGGCCACATCAGTACCCTTGCTGTTACTCACATAAGTCTCAGAGGTTTTTGCTACAGTGAAGATTTTTCTCTGTGTCAGAACCAATCAAACAAAAGCCATATTTGCTAGGGCATATATAATGCACAGAGCAGGTTCACATGTGCAGTCTTTTTTGTAGCTTCATCCAATTAACAGGAACAATATTGTCAGTAATAGAGGAAGTTAGTACTGGCCCAAATACCTTCTGGAGGGACAACTCACAATGACAAACAATTCTGCCTCCAGAGCCATTTAATCCCTTTTGCCTCCCTCCAGGCCCTATGGCTGCTCATCTGTGTTACAGCACATCACCCACTAGACAAACACGTGTTAAACAACTTGTTGGACTGAGGGCAGTGACTAATTTTGCACTGACTTTGACCAGACTGGGCAGCAGGGTTAGTAAGAGTCAAGGCAAGACTGAACATACACTGCTTGTCCACACAAACAGAATTCTTTCCTACCACAGCCCACCAAGGTTAATCTGTTTTCAGTGTGGTGTACAGTGGAGCCTGTTGGACTCTCTCTTCCAACTGGGTACCACAGAAAAGGGAAACCAAACCAGGTTAAAGCAAACATTGCTTCTCCCAGCCTGTCTGGAATCTCTAAACTCTGGCGAATTAAACAACCATCCAGATGTGTTATTTTTAAAACTTTACACCTTGGTAGTGTTAAGCTGCAGGGTGTGCAGGCAGCAGTGCTGGGTGAGGGAGCTACTGAGAGTGACCACGTTCCAGACAGCTCCTGAAAGTCTGGATGGCTAGTTTTGAACAAATCTTTCCTTTTGTTACCCAAATCTCTTTGTGAATATGAGAAACCAATGCACATCTACATCAAGTTTCGTGTTCGGCAAACTACTCTCATAACAAAAGACGTTTTGTAAAAGGTTTACCCCACATGTTCCACACAGCATAAGAGGGACACAAAAACAGTGTCCCCAAAGGGACAAGCTTTCCTGTCTCATAGCATGCCCACACAGAAAATTCAGATTAAAGCCATATACTAAACACTGAACACCCCAAAAAACACTTGGGGCCAACATGACATCCTCCCTGAAAAGCATCAAATTCAACATGTTAGTAGCAAGTACAGATGTGTTGGATGGGCTTGAAGTCGTTATTTTCCTGCAGATCAATTTTATAAACTCTGCCTCCTAGGAAGAGGCAATTCCTGTGAAAATTCAGCCCTCCAAGCTGAGGGAGATGAAGCCAGTACTGATGTGGCAGGCTGTCACTAACAGGCCTTTATTATTTCAGATTTGAATAATTTGTACGGTATTGAGTAGATATCATTTATTATTTTCAACACCTTATCCAATTAGCATGCATCACACGACCTTGTGTCTTATTGTGCAAATATCTGGCACAACCTGTCCTGCACAAGTTTCATTTATATGATCAGGCTAATCACATACACCCTTCTACAAATACTCAAATGGGACACTTCCATTCTTGAAAGGTCCACAAAAATCACACGTCTCTTTTATCTGAACTAAGATAAGGTGGTTAATTCCCTTTCAGTGAGGTAAATGGGCTATCTCAGAAGATGTTTGTGTAGGTACTGTCTTCTCACTCAGTTGTTTGTGGTACAACACCTACACAGAGACATAACTTAATAAGCTGGTTAGAACTTGCAAATGGAGATTTTTTCCCAGTTGTGTGCTGTCCTCCTGTGAGATCCATATCTTATTATTACCTGAGGTGGGATGATGATATTTATCCATGGGTAAAGTGCTTTGAGGCTGAGAGAAAAGCATTAGGATTACAGGATAACCTTGGAGGTTTACTTCCCAGATTAGAGTTCTCATAATGTTTCCATCCACATGACGCTTCTGATTTCATTACACTGTTAGACAGGCAGATATCCTTCAAGAAAACTTTTTCATGCTTCAATATCTGAAGTATGACTATTAAACTCTAAGACTTCTAGGCCTTCTCTTGTACCAGCATATAATATGGGGGCAGTGACAGTACCCAAGGTAAAATTCACCTTATCTGCCTTAGGCTGTTTTGAAAATGAGCATCTACCTCAAGCAAACCATCTTTGCTTTCTCTCTGGGTGATGAAATGAGACAAGGCACCTCTAAAAGAAAATTTATTGCATTCTGAGACCTTTAACATGAACTAGCTTTCAGACAATCACAAAGGAAGCCCCTAAGCAGCTGTCCACTACCACACAATTGACTTCTATTTAGTCAGTGTGAGTCCCATACTCTGCATCCACCACAGATCCTTCTAGGACTGACAGTCCTTCTACTGAACTAGCAAAAACAAGGGTAGAAATCTTCCTATTACTGTCCAATGTTGAATCACTGGAAGATATTCAAATGTGGGACTGTAAAACCTTACAAAAGCATGTCACATCACAACTGTATTCCACGTACTACCTATGAACTAGTCCAGCTGGCACTACCCCAGGAAGTGCAGGCAATTGGAAAAACAGTGGCAGTTGTCTTCATGTACCACTGCACGTTACCCTCAGCAGTACGGATCCAAGATCTCGGGATCAAAGGAAGGAGGCACAGAAAACAAGCACACACATTGCAGCAGGAGGTGACAGTAAACAGAAACCCTCTCAGTCCTCACAGAGAGGTTTTTATTAAGGACTTCTAAAATTAAAGTTCCTTTTAACTTGGTTTTAAATACTTCATTCCCTTGGCACCTTCTTCAAAAGCACAGTTACAAGCTCAGGAGTGCACAGGAAAAGGAACGTGATATAAGTTTGTAACTCTCCCTTTCCCTCACCTATCTTTTTGGCTGCATTTAGGTCTAGTCACAGAAAGTAATTTTTAAAGAAAGTTTACTTTGCAGAGAATGTGAAATCACCGGTGTGCCTCAAAAATGACTACCAGTTGTATTGGTGTATGCACACCCCAAGAGGGGAGAAAAAACAACCCTCCCTTGTTTGATATAGTAAACCCAAAATAATAAAAGGCCAAAAGAGAACAAGAGAAGGAGCAGGTTCCAACACAGGTTTCATTAATAATGGCTGGATTTGAAATCTAGAAACATCAATGCAATCTAAAATGAATTTACTCCCAAGGAGAAAGAAAACGTACAAAATTCCCTCTCCCTGTTTTCTTTCCTGTGTCTTCACTTACTTTCTTTCAGTGTCGGGTGTTGATGCTGTGCTGCTGAGACCAAGTGACTCCTGCAAGAGAAGACACATAGTGGTGAGACCAGACACAAGAGAAGCCTTTACCCAATTTGTGCAGAATATCAAATTAAAGACCAAACAAATCAAAGTAGGTGATCAAAATCTATGTGCTTACCTCAATCTGGGATCGCAGCTGTAGAGATGTAGGACTCACATCAGGTTTCTCCTAAAACACAACAAATGTCAGGTTAATGAAATTATTCCAAATATCGGAAAGAAGAAATCTCAAGGGGAGAAAAAGGGAAGAAGAAACAGGGTAACAGAAATTAGGATACCTCAAAACAATTCTAATAGTAAACATTAACCTCTTCAGAAGAAATCACTTTCAGGATAAACCCTGAAATAATACGGAAAAGCAGCTAATTCCATATATCACCAAAGAATATAGCAACAGGTAAAACTGCTAGATAGAAGTGATTCAAAACAAAATACAAAGTAGATTTATTTATTTATTTTCACTAGATCATCACACAATTTGTTAGCTAAGTTCAAGTGCAATTTCCAAAAATTCACCTTCAGGGAAAACATACTGGGAAAATTTGGGATTATAAGAGCATATCTGAGCTAAAAATACCAAGAGGATTCAGATACATTTCAGAAAGGTCAGTTTCTAGCATAGAAACTTGTCAACAGTGTGCAGTTCAAATAACCTTCCTTCAAACATCTAGGGTATAACCATTTACTCCAGGATTCTGCCATCCAGGCTTCCTTTGCAGTCAATAGAGAGACACAGAAACTCTTACAGAACAACTCACACGGCAGGTTTCAGCTCTAAGTCAGATGATAGAGTCCCACTGGTGGTGTCTAATTTAAGATTGCAAGCCAACTGCCTGAAAGGTACGTACTATTAACATGTATTAACTGAAATCAGTGGGAAAAGTCCAGTTAAAATAGAGGAAGATATTATAGCTTTCAGTATTGAGAAATACACTTTGTGTATGAAATCATGGGGGAATCCACTTATATCTATTTTATTCTCAGCCAGTCCTAGCCCTTGTGAAGTTATTGCAAAGTGAGTACTGTAACTTACTCATCATAGCTGGGTAAGCAACCACAGTAGAATGCATGCTTCAAAAAAATAAAAATAGATTTGTTTCCCAATACTGGAGGGACTTCTTGTTCATGCATTCCTCAGCCTACATGTAAAACTCTTATCTCCGTGAAATTGTACTTCCTATGCCCTTTGTTTACAGAAAGGGTGACAAAACATTCTTGGGATTTAATTTAAAAAAAAAAAAAGAAAACCAGACACAATTTTCTGGAAATGCAGCCTTTTAATATTAAACAGGAAATTACCACTGACTGCCATGAAGTGGTTTTAGATTAACCCACCCAGAAAGTCTACAAGATCTAGAGTAGAGAGGATCCTACTCTGCCATCATACAACTGAGTCAGCTTGCACTGTTGGCCATGGCAGCCAGGAGGGCAAAGGATCCTTCACAGTCCTGTGCTTGCTAGTACACAAGGGTGACACTGGGTCACTGTCCCACTGGGGGATTTTGCCTGGCCATACGTGGTCAGTGTATCTGCTTTTGCTGATTTTATAACATGAAAAGGGAAGTGAAGTTCTTAAGTGGAAGTGGACACGGAAAGGCGATCACATTCACATACTGACAGGTCCAAAGGACTCCTCCAGTCAAGCAGAAGCTGGACCAAGCCCAGGGAAATTCCACTGATGTCCACAGATCAGAGAAGTGAAATTAGCTATTTGGCACCCTCTCTTTTGCCATTAGCTCTGCCAAAATGGAATCCGATTAAGTTTTGCATCTGGAAAAGACTGCAGGCACAGTGATGCAAATCCTCCTCAGATATTCTCCAATCCCTACCTAGCAGTTTGCAAGGGGGGAGGGAAAGACAAGCCTCACAGTACAAACACTTCACATTGATGAGCACCTTGTTAGTCCACACACTGCTGCACTTCCAAAAAAGGAGCATTTTATGTTACAATTTCAGTATAACAGTCAGGAGAATCCACCATATCCCCCACATGCCTTTAGATCCCAAGTTCCTGATGACTTATCTATCGCCTTAAAAAGCTGCTTGCTGCAAGTTTGTTTTGGATTTTTTTTTGTTTTTTTTTTTTTTTTTTTTTTTTTTTTTTTTTTTTTTTTTTTTTTTTTTTTTTTTTTTTTTTTTTTTTTTAATATGCTAGTTTTTTGTAAACTATCCTTTATAAGATGCTGCCTGGCCTCCCAAGACTACAGAAGTCTTTTGCTTGAGCAGCTGCTTGTGAAGTTGAAGCCTGAGACTGCAACTAGATGAAAAGTTACTATTTTCAGCCTAAAACTATTCAGATGAACAGTCAGCTGCATCCCATGTAACAAAATCCTAAAAAAATCTGACTGTATTTGCTTTCTTTTTTTCTCATTTGTTGTCAAGCCCACCCTGTCAGAATAGGAGCAGTTTTGTAGAATCAAGATGACTGTGGAGGGTAGAAGCAAGGACAACCCTCCTCTTCCTCCTCTAAACCTCCACTTTGCAATGCTGGGATGCAAAATACCTAATAGTCCTGCACTGTTGTGATTGATATTCCTACCTTTACAGTAGAATGGTGTTTCTTTCCATTGCTATTTACACAAGAAACCAAAGGAAAATACTTAAGGAAATAGTACTCTCAACTGAACGTCTGGCTTAGATCTGTATCAGAGATCACAGAACTTTCATCAGCCTCGAGCAATTCTATTTATTTTGGTTAAAATCCATTAAACCTCAGGTTAAACCTCACTTTAAAATCCACGTGTTGTATTGACTTTTATTCATCAGGATCAGCGCCCTTTTTTACCAAAGGCTAATTCTAGAAAGTTGAGCAAATGTTGTACTGTTGGCATGCTCTCAAGCAGGCTATGGAATCTTTTCAGAAAATATTTTGAAAGGTTAGTTTCATGAAAGTACATCTTTCACCCTTCTAAACCAAATCTTAAAAATTAAACAGAGGATAGCTTTTGCTTATAGAACAGTGGCTGCAGTAACAGACATTCCTAGACTGCATTGCCAGGGCTCTGGTCTAGACAAAGCAGGTGTCAGAGTGATAGGTATTTTCTGTCTTAGCAGCCTGCTGCCCCAGATATCTGCCCTCCACATATGCCCATAAAGCTTGTCAGAGGTGTACCAGACATTCACACCACCTACACACTATGCAGTATTGGTGAACGAAACCCAATAACCTGAGAAAGTACCCCACCAAGTGCAGGCTCCTTAAGCTACATAATTAAACCCAGTATCTCCTGAAAGCAAATGATTTACTTACATGGTTTCCGGATTTAAGGGGCCCTAGGCAGGCTCCTGTCCTGTGCCAAGACACTGTCAATGCATATTCAACTAGTCCAATACACTATTAAATCACAGCAACTAAGATCTGAAGATTGTGGAGAAATTGAGATATTCATCAATTGTATCCAATCCCCAAGGAACATATTAGAGGGAGGACAAACTGGCTTAGCACCAGCCTGTCCAGCTACCCTTGAGGTCCAAGGTCAGCACAGCATAGAATCTCAAATACCAATAATAAACCCAGAGGGAGCTCTTAAAAATTAGTAATGCTAATATACTGTAGAGTGAAGTCCACTGAATTTAAACTAAGAATTCCTCCATCAAATCACCTACAGCTGATCTAAATCAATCTCAGCTTGAGGAAAGTGCCTGCGGTGGCAGACTGGTAAGCTTGGGAGCTCTGGTGCAGAAGCGCAAATTGGTGAAATACTTTTTACAAATCACTCCTTTTGGAAGAAAACATGTAGTAAGCTTAACAAACAGGACTTGTGCTTATGCTTCATGCCTTTAGTTGTTTGCTTCAGGGTTCAAGAAAGAAGCTTACTTCACAGGTAGCTTTTTTTTGGTCTACTTTGTACACTGTGATTTATGTGATCATTTGCGTACATTTTCTTTTCAAATTATTGCAGGTTTCTAAATATTGTGATTTTGGTTTTATATACTACCTTCCTTGTAAAAATCTTCAAAACAGTTTTGCGACCATTTATGAACTACGCCTAAAAACCACAATTGGGTAGAAAGTATAAAGCAAAAAAATACATGGGAAAGAACCTGAAAACCTTTTTCCTGACTGGAATAGTAGTTTTTGAATTCATGAGGGATTTTTCCTCCCATGATAACGTCAGTTCAGTTGTTCTGTAGGTAATGTAACAGATAAGAGACAGATCATGGCCTATCTGAAAGCACTGTTGTGTTGTTCTGCTCCTGAAATACACATACATAGTAGAGAAGAACATCCAAAAGGAAAACTGGTTATCCAGGGTATGGCTCACAAATTCTAGGGGGAATGTGTGTATTTTAATTACCTAAACATTATGCTTCATCTATGCTTCACACCACAACTTAGTTTAGGAAATTATATTCATTGAATGAATCCTTTCTAATTAGAAATTCATGAACCTCTTCACAGTTTCTGCCACAGGAGCTGTATCCATTTGAATCATAAATTTAAACACTCCTCTGCAGATCCCAAGACAGGATTAATCTCACTGTGCAGACAGCAACTATGCAAAATGAGACCCAGATGAATGCTGGGAAAATTCAGTGACACAACCAGTAATTTATAAATAATTTTATGAAACCATTTCAGCAGGTGTAATTAAGGCACCTACAGCTGAAAATTTCAGAGACAATTCTGCCAGCCTTTTCCCAAATGTTTTCTCTCTTTGCTCTGAACATGCACTGCACGTTCTAGTCTAGCTTCTGAAATGATCAGACAAAGTTGTATCTGAAAGACAGACAGAGCACCAAAGGCCTGTAAGTATTTACTTTAAAAACAATCGTTCTGCCCTGGTGTCCTCCACTGTACACCATATTTCAGCCTCTGTGGAGGTTCTGGAGAAGAAAAAGGGAAGGCCCTGTGCAGAGACAGCACAGGTATGCAGGTGTGTAATGGAAATCACCTACACATCACTAGCTATGGGTTACAGGCCAGAATAAAGAAATAAAAAGACCTATTCTTGTGTCAACCACATCAGCAAGTGTTTGAGAGAACTAAACAATCCAGTGAGCTTCCAGTAGTACAGATTAGTTGAAGTCCATTTTCAGTCTCAAACCACAACCTCTGGACCATCCCCTAAGCTGTTTCAGTGAACAGAGAAAGTTTTCTGCTCCATTACTTTTGCATGTTAGAGCCAGAGCTGATACATGCTAAATGATAACATCCTGCAGCAGAAG